CAAGGACATGCAGGGTGGTGGTTGCCTCCTTGGTGCCTGTGGGAGCAGAGCAACGTCTGAGCCTGTGGCACCCCATGGCAAAGGCCCACCTGAGGCAAAACCCCCGTGACAGCAGTGGGGCCGGCCCACGGAGCTGAGGTGAACACCACTCCAACTTCTGGGAAGAGCAGAGCAACAGATATATGTCTGAGGACCCTCCAAAACACCTTAGGTGCCCCAGAGGTGTCTCATACCCTCCTCAGCAATCCAGAGTATGGCACCCTCCCCTCTTCCCTTCAAGTCCTTATTCTCCCAGGGCCACAGGGCCTCCCACATTCAGCTGCAGACCCCTTGCTCCAGTGCCCCACACCTCCAGCTTTTTCGATCTCCTGCACGCAGAACTTGGCGGTGGAGGGTGCCGCAGGGTGATGCTCAGGGGCTGCATCTCCAAACATGAACTCGCTGCCCCTCAGGACGGAGCACACGCCGTACTGCGCCGCCTTCCGCACCTGGGGGACGGAGAGCCCAGGTGGGTAGAAGCCACAGACCCTGGTGGCACAGCCAGCCCCAGAAATGAGTCCCAGTTGCAGTGTCATCCCTCGCCAGGGACACTGGGTGCTAACCTTGGGCTTGGTATGAACACAGAAGCTCAGCAAGCCGTGATAGACCTGGAGGGTGACAGGGTAGCTCCAGGCTGCAAAGTCCTGCTTCCGCAGCAGCGTGGCCAAGCAAGAAAGGACCTATGACAAGGGAGAAGCAGGAGTACAAGCATCACTCTGCCCTCATTGCAATGATCTCAGGTCGAGCACCCACCACCACCCTACAGCAGCAGCCTTGACCCCAGCTCTCAGCAGATCCCCAGGCAGAGCTGGTATGGCTGGCTGTCTCTTGGCTACTCACCCATCGCAGGGCAGAGGTGGAGTTGCTGCAGGCCTGCGAGGACACGATACTCATGAAGGCTTTTGAGGCATCTGAGAACTTTTTTATAAGCACAGGGCTTGGGACCCTGCCGGGAGAAGGAGGCATGTCAGGGAGGTGAGGAGCGGGCAGCTGGTGGCAGTTGAACTGCATCCTGGTTGGGTCCTTTCCCCAGCCTGGGGAGGGGGGGCAGCGCCAGCCCCTCTTCCATGGTGGGGCCGGGTAGCTCTCCCCACCCCTC